TATACATTTTTCAATGTATCAGAAGATAATTATAATAAACAAATTACTATGGACAAAGTCTCGACAAAAACTATATTTCCCTAGTTTTTAATGAGTTCGGTTGATAGAATGATTTTTAAAGTAATGGTTTTAAAAATTAGAAAAAAAAAAGTCTTCCAAGTGAACAAAATAATAATATTTGTTAAAACGAATAAAAAATAAGCTACTCAACAGAACAATCGTTGATTGTAATTTTCGATTTCACATGAATACAACACATTGTTATAGCTTAACCAAATAACAACACAGTTAGGAAGCCATAGTACTTACCGATTCAAATGTACCAGTACCATTGTCCATACTATGTGAAAAGAATCATCAAATTAAATATAGGAGAAGAAACATATTGAGAAGTACCAAGTGCTCTTCAAGAAATTACTATGTACTTGAACTTGCTCTTTCATATTATAAATAACATGCACGTCTTTACCTGTTCCATCCCTCTCTCTCTCTCTCTCTCTCTCTCTCTCTCTCTCTCTCTACATATAAACAAATGGCTCTTAGATTTGGAGAAACCCAGCATGGAGAAGAACACAAGATGGAAGGGAAAACCGAAGAGAAGAAAGAAGAGGAAATCTCTGATCTTCGGAAGGAGGCTTTCCAACTAGCAAATTATTATTTTGTCTTTCGAGGAGTTATCTTTACTGCAATTTATAGTTCCCCGACAAAGGACAAATGTCAATATCGTTGGGTTCCATTCACCCTTTCCTTATTTGCAGGCATTCTAAATTTGTTTGCTTTGTTGGCGATCGCACTGAAATACAAAAAAATATTAGATGGCAAGGATGAAAAATTGTTAAATGGTAAAACATCTACCAGCAGATATGCAAGTATGTGGCGTTTTTTTTACGTGTGGGGTTGCATGCTTCTCTTCTGTGGATTTTTTATTATAACACTAATTGGAACCATTAAGATTCCTTGTAAGGAAAATGATCCCAAGAACTGTGTCAAGTTATGTGAGCAAGAAAATTGTATAATAATTTGCCAGTAGACATTGTCTACACCATTGTCTAGGGTTCTGCGATTATGTCATTGATGTTCTTTGTTATTATATATATTTGATTATTCCTTATGATGTCTTATCAATCTTTACTCATTTTGAAGTTGCGGCTATTATTTAAAAAAAAAAATAATAATAAAATATGATCTATAGTTGTAAATTACTCCCATGATAGAGACAAATTAAATATCAAGCCTCTTGCGATGAAACAGATGCCTCCCTTGTTGATAAAATATAAGACCTTGTTAGGATATTTTATTTTCTTTATTTAAATATTTTTAATTCATTTTATTTTTCGAGTATTTATATTGTCAAATAACATTTTTGGCTCGTGGGTTTTATATAGAACTTGTAACTATTTAAACTATCTTGGTGAGTATTGCATTGGCGCCGCTGCGCCAAAATGCAATCGCAAGAGTTTGTTGAAAATTGAAGTGGCTGCACGCCTTCCAAGCCACCTCATACAACTCTGCCATGCTAATAGGCTTTTTTGACAAATTTTTCCACCCCTCCAATAGGGGGCGCCACGAGGCTCCCTATTAAAAAATCTGTCAAAAAAGCCTGTTTAAGTGGCGTTTTACCACCTCATATTTATAAATTGACTCTCTATACTATTTCTTAACAAATATATCTTTAAAAATTTAGTTGCATCTTCCCAACTGTTCATAACTAATTATCTTAAGTTGATGGGGAAAAAATTGAAAGCCTTCCACTAAATGTAAGATTTTAAAGATTTTAATTATAAAAAATTGAATCAATTTCAAAGAACAGATAGAGGGTATTCCCATTGGTTTGGGATAGAAATAATCATTCTCATACAATTTTTTTCTTATTTTCCCCCCTTGAATTTTACTAACTTTTTGGCTCTTATTTATTTCAGTCAAGTCACATGTTTGCAAAATTAACAGCCAAATTAGCGTGTCAATAGAGATTAAAAACCATGTCAACCATTTTCCTTAATTATTAATGGGTATGGTGATAATGAAAAATGTTGAAACAAATTATAAGGTTAATGAACAATTTGGAAAATATTTATAGTCGCTAAGGTTGTGATTCAAGTATTGTAGCCACATATTTATAAAATTTGTGTACATGTCACTTCACTGATGAAAAATTAAATCTAACCTGCATATAAGGTGCGAGTTGATGACAAAATCATATTAAGCCCCTGTTTGGCCCCCTTAATTTTGATTATGATGGGGGAATTGTGTTTTTTTTTTTTTTAAATGGATGGCTGTAAAAGAATGAAAACTTTTCAATTTACGTGTTATATTATTTTATTGAAGATTGTGTGATTAAAAATAGGAGAGAGAAAAATTTAATTTAATTTGATGAGATTTAATGGGGGCTAAGTAATATTTTCAAATCAAATCTACAAGCAGGCAGAAAAAATAAAATTAGAATTAGAATGTGTCCAAAGAACTAAAAATACTGAATTATATGTAGGTATAAAATCATCTGATAATGTATTGATCATGAAGAAAAAGAACGTGTTAAAAAATAAAAAAAATAAAAAAAATGCATCGATAACCATTACAGCTGCACCTTTAAGAAACTAACAAGAAGTAAAGCAAGCACAAACAGGAATATATTCTCGAAGCTGTCCATGGATGAAGAGTTAGTTGACTCAGGATGATGATAGTATTCTCTGTCCTCCATATATTGTCCTGAAAATCGTGATACTCTCCCCTCTCTCTCAAGTATTGATCCAGACAATTTTGTATCACCAATGGTTGTATTTCTGTATTAATATCACTACTAACTTGAGCAAAATGAATATACGCATTCTTCAATAATAAACGGGTTGGGAACAATGCCAAAACTCAACTACACTATTGGGTAGGAGCCTAAAACTTCAAGGTTTCCGAGGGAAAAAAAGTAATACTTGTGCAGATGGGCAGTATTATTTAAAGGAATTTCAGATTAGGCTCTTATGTGTGTATCTCAACAAGTAACCTGTTCAAATTTACGGAGAAAAAGGCTCGCAATCCAATTTCAGCATTTCAAATATCAAATATATACTATATGATAAACTAAAATAAAATCAGTTCTTTAGATGAAACTGTTTTAAAAGTAGTTTTCAGTCCATGTATTTGATCCATAAAACTAACATAAGATGGAACGAAATCATATTCTTGTATTGGACGGGAATTGCTAAGAATGAAAGAATGATATTCTTGAGAACTGGATGAGTAAATTTGCATTTAATTTCTTAAAACAAAACTGACATATTGATAATTGTAAAACACAAGAAATAGCCGCATGACAGCGGTCTTAGACAAGTCAATCGGAGAGGAAAACACAAAATTTACATAAATCGAAAAGCCCACCTACGGACATGGGGAACCAATTCACTAATCAAAGTTTCAAATGACAAACTTTTTTGAGTGTCAACCTCCCTCTACATAAAACCAAAGTGCACATACCCCTCTATTTTTATTCTATTCTCTCTCTTTTAACTCTTCACGATACATGGTAAGACCTTTCTTTCCCATTTCCTTTGATTTTCTTTACTCGAAGATTGTGTTGATTCTTAATTCGACAACATGTTACTTCTATTGTTCATTGAGCTAGGCTTATCTCTTATTTCCTTATTTTCTATTCTATAACATTCCTTTGGTTATTATTATTGTTGTTGTTGTTGTTGTTGTTGTTATATTTTTTTTCGCTTTCTTCACCTAAGAAAAAATAAATTTCAGTCAAAATATCCAACAGTTTCATATTGAACTTCAACAAAAAGAGTCTAAAAATCCTTCTTCAAAATTCTTCTCTTTTCTACTTATTTTTCTATTTTAAAATTGTGTTTAGAATCTAAATGAAGATACTAATAACCCTTCCTATGTATATTCTAGGTCAAACTCGTCATGACTCCACCTAATCCCAAGGATGGTTACTCCGTTCACTTCGTTCAGTCAAACCAATCCTTAAGTCCAATGTGGCCATTAAACTTGAACTATGTGAATAATGTGTTTTACACGACTATTTATGCTTTTACATTTGATAAATAATTACTAATTGAGCGAATTTGTATCTAATTTAATATAAAGTTGGTAATTATTGGTAAAACTTGGACTTACAATGCATTTGGAGCAAAAATGAAGATTTTTTAGCTTAATTGGAGTTGATTTTGAGAAATTGAAGGTTAATCAGATTGCACGTGGTTGAAAAGTATTATTAGGCAAGCAATCGGAGCAAATTTGAAAGTTTTGTGAGAGAATTCAAATTTGAAATTTCTGGAACTAAATTGCACACATTCGAAACTTGGAGGAAAATTTTGGATAATTATGAAGTTCCAGTAACGTATATGGAAGATTTTGAAAGTTGCGGCATCAAAGTTGAAAAAGTGGGTGTATCAACAAAAGTAAAATATTGATGTTTGAGTGATACTATCTACTCTAAAGTGTGGAGAGAAGAAACATTAAGAAGAAGTGGCATGACGTTGATGTTGGCATTGACGTTATTATTTATTAGTAAAATAGCTACCTATAGAGGGCATCAAAATTAGAACGCATCTTTTGCAAGAGGGATGCACCAGTCTTCTACTTGTTGAAGCATTATATAATGTATAATACAAAATTATGTGCCTTTCTTTCAAATCAAAAAGAAACTTGAGCTAAAGATTTCCCAAATAAATTGAGAAAATCATAAGAAAAGGAATGAAAGGTAAATCAAATGAATGCTTCAAATTATAAAATTCGAAAAGTTGCTACTTTCTGTTTTTGTTGGCGTTGGTACTCTTATGGTTTTCACAGTACAAGTTTAGTCAAATCGAATAAATTACTAAATCATGTTAAATTTCAGAAAACAAGCAAGGCACACACCAGAATTTCCAGTTGTTGACAAACAAAATATGGAAAATCAAATATATATCATGTACCTCGTTGGTGACATAGTTCTTGCATATTCTGGAGGTGCCTTCGCAATCACTTCAAAATTTCTTCTCTTCCATATCCAGTTCCTCCACAGGAGAGCGCTACAACCTCGTCTGTAAAACAAAAATGTTAAGAAAATAAGTAGGGATAGAAACAACGGTCTTAACAATAATGCATTGGTGCCTTGAATTTCGTCGCTAACGACTTTCACAAACAGAATTGATCGGTTGGAAAATCTATCGATAGTACCCCCACCGCTAATTTTAGCGACGAATTACCTAGGTCATCGGTGAATTAGCGACGGAAGAGAGTCATCGGTGTTTACCAACTTCTGTCACTAATTAGCAACAAATTTTTCCGTCGCAAATTAACTACAGATTTTGTCCATTGATGATTACCACAGATTTTCGTAGCTATTTCCGTCGCTAATTTGAATTAAAATATTAAAAAATATATATGATTTTTATTTTAATAATTATCTTCGTACCAATGCTCAAAGCAGTATGGCACATGAAGCAAACATTCCATACTTCATGCTCCCAACCTTGTAAAATATAGTAAAATTGCAGTTGTCAACTGCTTTCTTCTTCATAATGACAAAAGGGTAGATAAAACTGACTTTCACAGCATTAATCATAATGAACAGCGAACTAGAAACTACCGTAATTGCAGCTTCTACATCTACTTATTGATATAGGTCGAACAGTTTTGTCAAAAATTGATATACACAAAAGTCCCAAACAGAAATTAAATGTTAAATGGCAAACTAAAAAAGCTAAACACGATGCCAAAGAAACTGAAAGCGTGTATTGTAAATCTTAAAGGAACAATCTCAAAATTCAAGCAAACAGCAAACTATTCCTTTCAAGGATTATCCTCCTAAGATGACAAATTCTGACTCAAACCAATTGCACACTCGAACCAACAAAAAACAAATTAATGTGTCAAGAAATAAAAAGTAGACGAGACAATTCTTGAGGAATCTCACCATTTTTTAAATTCACAAATTCATTACTAAACAGAAAGATTTACCTTCATTTTTTAAACTGCCTAGCTCCATAAAAACAACAATTTTCTTTTTGAATAAGCCTAGAACAGGAACTAAAACCCTAAATCAAGTAGGAAATAAGACAACTTTAAAATTCAAATTTTGAATAATCCTAGAAGTCTAGAACAGAAACTAAAAACCATAATGAAACAAGAAAAAGAGACTTAGTTACCTCAGAAGTCGGCCGGTTGCGTGCGTTCCGGAGGCGACGAGGCGTGAAGTGTGGTCTGTGGAGCCGTGCTTGTGCATGAGCGTGAGTTTTGTGATCTGTGGAGACTGGAGAGTAGGGTTTGCAGAATTTTGTAATGGGCTGAATTTTGAAGATAAAGAGGGGTTTCTATTCTTTTATAAATTAAAATTTTATAATATTTTCTGAAAGATATAGATGGAGGGTGGCAATGTGTATTGGGAGGAAATGAAATATTTGAGTGGGAATTGGATGGAGGGAAATAAAAATTTTAGAAGCAAGTCAAATTTTAGATGAGAATTGAAATTTTTTGAATTTTTCGATGGAATTTTTTGTTGGTAAACTATATAATGCTTTTAAAAATTTAATTTCAATGTTTACCAACAGATTTTTTCTGTTGGTAATTTATTTTACAATTTTTAATAATTTTTCCAATGAAATCATCCATTGAGAAATAACAAAATTGTATAAACGAAAATCTTCCATTGGTAATTCTATCGTTAAATTAGTATTTAATTTTTAATAATAATAAAATAATAATCCATTGCTAATTTGTTGTAATTCCATTGATAGTAGTAACGAAAGTTGTCCGTCTGTAAAATTCAATTTCTATTGCCTCATTTTCTAGTAGTGGTATTTATCTATAATTATTGCAAGCATAGGGATATATATACAGGTGTTTCAGTAGTAACAAGTCTCTATAGAAAAGTGAAAATTTGATTTCTTAAGGGGAAATAATTATTATGTTATTGGATCAAGACAATAAAATTCTTGAAAGGTTCAAGCTTTGACATATGTAGAGTAAAATACTTGTAAAATTTCTCTACTGGGTGGATTTGTTCAAACAGATACTCATAAGTGTATTTACACACTTATTTGGACTTCTAACCCTGATTATTTATTGCTAAATTGAGCTAATATCCACCTAGTGTAAATATGTTAACTTAGGAAAAATTGGAAGTTGGACACAATTGGAATGAAAAATACAATTTTTAACTTAATTGGAGTTGATCCGAAACAATTGAAGATTATTTGAACTGTATGTAATCACTAGAAGACTCAAGAGAGCCATCAAAATAAATTTACAAGTTTCGGGAGCTAAATTCAACAATAGAAAAGTTTAGGAACTTAATTGCTAACTGTCAAAACTTGCAATTGGAACAATTCAGATTATCGTGGAAGATAAAGATAAAATTTAAAGATTTCAGGATGAAGGATTCATGATGCAAATAAGGAAGGACTTGAGCTGAGCAAGAGGAGAAATTTAGGGATCGAATTGAACGAGATTTAAAATCTGTGAGTTGTGCTCGGAAGCTTTTCCTTGTAAGATCGCAAAAATTGAAAATCCTCCTAGGGCAAGCAACAACGTTGAACTATGCGATCGTTACACTATGTGCGATCACGTGGTTATATATGGGCTATCTGATTTTGTTTCCTTGTTCAACTCTACCTCCACTTGAAAAGCAATTATGTCACGAGTTTTGACCTCATTCTTGGGACTATAAACACGTTTTCATTTACAATTGAAACTGGGGTCTAGGAATACAATATACATAATTCTTACAAACTGGAGAGCCAAGAAGATTTTAATCATCAAATCCATATATCTTTCAAGCTATGTAGAAGCTTTAATACAAAACATGTTTCTATATTTAATTTCTATACATCAATTACTTAGTTTGAAGAAGAATATTCAACAGTTCAATATTTCTTTCCACCCTTTTTTTAATCTTCAATTATGGGTAATGTTGCATCAATTTACCTTCTGTTCGAGTAATCACAACGAGATCAAAATATCGCAAATCAGAATATCAATTCTCAAAATGTGATCCACAACCTACTTCTGAAGTTCACGCATTACACACACATGTGGATTTGGAGAATTATTGTTACGCCTTGCCTGACTAGGCTCCAAAAGAGGTCCATGTGGCAGCCAATCATGAGGTTAGCAAAGGCCGACACTCCACGTCGTCAAGATTTGAACCTAAGTCTTAAGGTAAAGATGACAAAGGCACGAAGCACCTCAATTGAAGCGTCATTTGCAAGCTGATGCATAGTGATCGAAACGCGGCGCCACCTGGTGCACAACCACCATAAGGAGGCAATCACCGCTTTAGTAGAAGCATCATGTTAGATGCTGAAGAACTCATGGCAAAAACCGGCTTCCTAATCATAAAGGAGCACCTTTTATGTCCACTTCTTCGAAGCGATCTTCTGCAAAAAGATTTTAAGCGATTCATGATGTGACCCTATTACAACTGAATAATATCAAATCTTGTCAACCTACTATATAGGTACTCAAATCTAGACAATAGAGCAGCTACCTTATCAAACAAACTTTAATTGATTCAAGGCCTATTATGTTTGATGTGACATTACGATGGGAAACTTTGACCGTCAAGATAAAGCCAACACCTCTTTATCTAAAGTCACCACTTCGTCCGTAACATTATAAAAGCTCATTATCATCTCAAGGGTATTGCAATTTTACACATTCAAAGTAAGGTTGCTCATTCTCTCTCGTATTTTTACTCATCCAAAAACTCTTGGTATTCATACACTTTTGTGGCTCACGTCTTTAAAGAATCCCAAGCGGAATATATAATTTCTCATTCATTGACTTATCGTCCAAGGGCTCGTGGCCACCTTCCCTACCATCGGAAAAAGTCGTGAGTGGTTAACAATTTGTCCAGGTGTTTAAAAACATATCTATGTGGATGTGAAGGGAGTCAGAATCTGTTGACCATGTTGAAGGTACAAAAACCGAGGTCAACAGGTTGTGTTAACTTATGCAATTTAAGAAAATAAAATTAGTGTATCAGGTATCTGTTTCTTTCACTTCGCAAGTTAATTTTCTGGGAGAAAATTAACAAAAAGTATTCTCAATCATCAATTCATCATTCTAATAGAGATTAGTGATTATCAACATAATATAAAAACAACATGAAATTCGAATATACACAAGTATTTAATCTTAGTTTCTGTTTTGAATTTAGAATTTGACTTTTTTTATTATTTATCAGATTACCTTTGTTGTTTCCATTTTTTATTTTCCTTTTAAAAATTATCGCTATTTTGTATGTAAACTTTAGTGGCGCCTTAGTTTTACAATTATAAGCAAAATAAACAAAGGGATATATTTATATATTATACATAAAATATGCAAAAACAATATGCACTACAACATATCAAGTCTTCTATCCTATCTATCATGTTTCATAGCATTTTCCATTTTATTATCGTCATGCAAGTGATGGATTTTTTACCGAAACAAGTGTTGGACACTTTGTCCTTAAGTTGAATTTGCCCCGCATCGGTATTAACGATTCTCCGACAATCATCTCCCAAAATATAACGATTATGTCGAGCCATAGGAGCACTCCAAATGGTTTAGACAAATGAACTCGAACGGAGTTCTCTCTCTACCAAAATCATGACTTTGATACAAATGTTTTATGCAAAACCAAAGTGTAACATGAAATGGAATGATATGGAATTATGAGTTGAGTTTCTTTTTGTTTTTTGATAAAATTCAAACACATGAGGTCTATATATAGTAGTTGAAAAGGCATGCCAAATGACACAACCATATCAAAAGACGCATCTCTTGAAATTTTTTTTATACATTAAGAGACACAATTATTGAAAATTAATCATGCCCATACCAAGAGTCATGATCCTTCATATGAAAAGATACATCCATATATTTCTAAAATATTTCACAATATTCTATACAATTTTCCAACAATTTCAAGTATCAAGCGGCTTACATTTGACTTAATTTCTCATTTATCAAATTAGAATTCCACTTAAATAATCATGTAAAATTGGTCACAACCAATTTTCGATACAAAATTTTAACAATCCCCCACATGAATGAAAATTTATGCAAATGTCTATATAGACAGTAGTAGAAAGAGAGTGAAAAATAGTGCATCAGGTAAGGTAACTTTTGACTTTGAACCTTCCTTAGTAAAATACTATCAAATTTACTAGCTAATTGGTAAACGCAATGTTCTTGAACCATTAGCCGTTGGTATAAACTAGGACAATAGTACTCACACAATGTCTCTCATAAACAGTTCATAGTTCTCATGACTTGGCTCATTTTGATCCTGAACCCATCTTGGTTCTGTAAGTGTTTAGAGAATTTAAGTTTTGAATAATTCTAATTGAAGCGGCCTCACTTCACACTTACATAGATGACCTCCTTTTAAGAGTATTCTGTCATACTCCACTTGACTTAATCAAAATATAGGAATCATTAAAAGTTTATCTTAACCTCCAACCACTCTGCAGAAAGCACTTTGGTATCATAGGAATGAGTTAGGAAATTAGTTTCTTAAGTGTTTCATAGAATCCTCATAACTTAGTTGTCCCTTTACACCAAGATCTTAGGATCTACAGTCAACATGGTAGGGTTACCATCATAAGGACACTTACTCAATAGGCTTAATCTCATTCACTTCGATATGACGTATATTTGGTCTCTTGGTAAACATATATAAATGGATCCACAAGTTCATGCCAATAAGATTAACTGCTTATGGCATTATGTCTATGACTAACACGTCAAGACTTACTATTACATGTGATTTAGTATCTTTTCAAATTTAGGTAGCCAACGATTGATTCATTTGATAGATACAGATTGTCAACACCAAGAAATCCTTTCATGAAGCTACATGCTTCTCATTAGCTTTGTCAACACGATTGGAGGATTCCTATCAAATCGTTACACTAGTCAATCATACTCACTAGTGGATTTCATACATGGGTACTCAATATCATCATTAAAGCATTGCAATGCATTTGAATTTTATAAATATTCTCCAATATTTCATTTGTTTTTTTATATCCAAACAACCGTCATGATCAACTTTTATCCCATTTCATCCACTTTGTGGCTTTCATCCCATTTCATCCACTTTAAACTTAGTGTATATTATCGCATCACAATATCCTTCCAATACCATAGGATATCTTGTGAAATGTAATCCATAGGTCATGATATTTCAAATACCTAAGGACCCCTGTCAATGCCACCAAATAATCATGGCCTAGATTACTCGTAAATCTACTAAATTTATTCACAGGCAAAGCATCATCCGATTGAATGTATTTCATAATATACATAAGAA